AATTCTAAATGTTTCATTTTAACCATTTATTAAGGGCCCCGCAATTTATGTATTTTTGTTTGGCGAGGCTCGTCTCATTTATTATTTAAAAGGCAAACCTAAAAGTGACTATGATTTGCTATTTTTATTTTGTCTCTAAAAAAATAAGAAAAGGCCCTAATTAATTAATATGTCAACAACCTTACTATGAGAAAGGTTGCCTCCAACATTGGGCCTACAAGGACGTTTGCAGCCCAACGAGCCCGGGGTTCGAGCCTGGACGGGAACATCGCAACACGAATCTGGGCAGCCCAATCAGCTCCAAACAAATCATCTGATGACCCAGACCCAAACAGTACTTTATTTACGTTATCAGTACTGAACTAGTACTCAAATAACTTGGTATTTTAAACTATTGGGATACGGAAGTGAATTATATGAAATCCGAATTTGTTTGAACTTGTTTTTACAATTATTGAAACGAATCAATGCTTAAGAGCTGTCATGAAAGAAATAAACTAACACTAGCCACTTTAATGATCCACGATTTCCTAATAGAACTGTTGAAGGACACATTGAGACTAAAAATCATTCAAGCCTATTTTATAACTACTGAAATTAAACATTCAAGGTAGGCCTTTTAACTAAGGTTCTAAAAGAACTACTGAAATCAAGTCACACTATACAGCCTGGTCATATTTAAATTACCTGTTGAGAATGAAACAAAACAGTCACTCCAGGTTTTATCTTATACTACGCTAAACGGATTCACAAAGGTCTTTAACACGAGATTAACTATGACTAGTCATGAACTACTCTGTACCATGAATTTGGCTACAACCAGTACTCAACAGGTGCAAGAATCAGCTAACAAGGAATTAACTACAACTGGCGATTTACTGGGAAAACCAATCCAAGAAAACTAAGCTATAATAGTCTATAATCCAGTTATTGCATAGACCAGTTCAATCCAGCCAACGCAACTATAAACAAGAGTCTAAACATCCTTAACGAACAAAATGTTCAAATATACAAATCAGAAACTGAATTAAATTAAAATCTTCAGGCTTCAATTTTAAGTTCATCCTTTACATTTCAGATTCACAATTATTGAAGTCAAGCTGTGTACCTGGAATTGGAATAGAAATAAAGCAGAAGAAAGATCAGTAGCAGCAGTAATACGAGCAGCAATACAACAGCAGTTCACAACAGCAATTTGAAGTTCCAAACAGCCACAAACAGACTCAACCGAGCTTGAGTCAAGCCAAGATTCTACTACAAAACTGATCTTTTAAACTCTCAGAAACTGACTTTAAGCTTTCAAAATTAGTTCCAAAAACTGACTGCCTTTCAAAAGAACTCTCAAAAACTCTCTGAACTCCTCAGAATATTGTTCAAAGACTGACCAAACTCTCCAGTCATTAAGCTTTAGAAACTGATTTTCAAGACCCTCTCTAACTGATTAAAGACTCTCAAAAGTGATCTCTCCAACTTGAAGCAGAGAATTTTAAAACTGTTTATGATTCTCAGGGAGCTGGACTACTGGCTGAGATTTTGACAAGTTAATTAAGGTAATGAGACAGTAAAAGCTCTCTCAACTCTCTTCCTTAAGGTCTCCTTCCATTCTAAGGTCTGCCCTGTATTTTATACCCTAAGATAGACCCCTTTTCCATCCTGTTTTAACACTTAAATCATTAAGAAATGTATTTCTTCCATCATATTCCCTGACAACCACTACTAAGTGTCTAATTTCATTATTTAATTCAAAGGTGTATGGGCAATGCTATATTTTAATCAATTCCTTTTAAGACTCCACATACCATTATATTTTGTTCCCCACTAACTATTAAACAAATGTTTATTTAATGGTACACTAGTACTTAGTGGACAGAACACTCAAACTACCCATTTCTTCAAGTTTTCAATTCCCAAATTTCCCCCATGGAACCCCTGTGATTACGTCTTTCAGCTATAACCAATTCTTAAGAAAGAAACCTAATCACTGATTAACTAAAGCTGAATTTAAAGACAAGTTCAATTCCCTCGGACCCCAAACTCAAACAGAACCACAGTCAGATTCAAACCACTAAACTCACACAATAATTGAACTCAGATCAGAACGAACAGTATTGCAACCAAGATGAAGGGTTTAATGATTCAGGGAATAGACTAACTATATTCACAACTCTAAACTAAATAAAAATGAATGAAATACTGTAACATACTGGACGAAAATAAACTAAATTTATATGTAAAATGATGAACAACAAGAACAGGGAGCCAAACATCTCAGAAAATGAGACCATTTGAACCAGTAATACTAGTAACCAATTACAGGACTAGACATAGTTTTTGTACAAGAACATTATGGACACTGACTTTTACAACCAAACTAAAGGACAAAGACACTCAATCGATTCAACATATGCTGATCAACCACATGAGAAAAAAAACTGGACCAGAAAAAGGGTCTAAAAGAGAAGAGAGAAATGAATCGAAAAGATGATGAAACACAATGAAGCTTAAGCAGATAAACAANTAAATGAAATGAACGGCCTGGATCGACAGGCTTGAAACGGCATCGTTTCTTCGATGTTGGGGGTGGACTGGACCATTCGATCTTAGGAGATCGACGGTTCAGATTGAACATGGCCATACGACGTCGTTTGGTTGGCTCGGTCGATTGGGCCAGATAGGGGTGATTTGGGCTGGTTTTTTGGTGGGTTGGGTGTTTGGGCTTGNAACACTTCTCTTGAAATTTTGAAGCCAAAACGGACCTTAATCGAGTGTTCTCGACTGAGAACACTCGACTAAAGTCGGTTAAAACCTCAAATTTTTAACTCCGTACATAGTCTCAAGTTTGGTTCTTTTAGGGTTTGCCTTCGATTTGAAATTCGAAAGGCTCTAACAAGATTCGTACAGAACTGGAGTGGGATTTGGGACGAGGGTAGCTAGGTGGTTCAGTGGTGCAACTTTGGGGTCAAACGGATGAACTAGGGTTTTGGGACTGATCTTCGATTGAAGATTCGAAGCGTATGGTACTGATTCGAAGAAAATTAATTCGGGATTTGGAAAGAGGACGTCGTGGGGAGGCTGTGGTGTAATTTTGGGGCTGTTTGGACCACCGGGGGCGGAGGGTTCGTTTGGTCTCTAAGGCTTAGAGACGAAGAGGTGAGGGGGGGTTTGGCTTGGGGGCGGGGTATGGTTTGGGCTTATATATNTTTCGTAAAACAAGTTACTTAATTAATCCTATTTGTAAAAATTAAATCCTAAATGCACATGCAACATGTAATTTTTGTATTTTTCATTAATCAAAACAAAATAAACATGCCCAGCCAAATACAAACAATTAACCAAAAACGCCACGAAAAATCTCAAAATTGCACACAAAGGAAAATTGTCTTATTTTGAATCTCTGGGAGTAATTCTCATAGGGCAAAAATCACGTGCTCACAGTCCCAAATAAAGTATATGACTACTTTCTCCCTAACCTTCTTGTATGCATGCGCTTCAAACCACTTAGAAAAATATTCAGTCATAAATGAGATAAATTGAGCCTTACCTGGTGCCCATGAAAGAGGGCCGATCATGTCCATTCCCCATTTCATGAATGGCCATGGCGACTAGACCGAATGCAACAGTTTCCCGGGTTGGTGAATCATCAGAGCATATCTTTGGCACTTATTGCATTTTCGTACGAACTCTTTTGCATCCTTTTCCATGTCGATTTAGTAATAGTCGGCTCTGATCACCATTTGAACCAATGATTCGGCGCCTGAATGATTTCTGCAGGTGCCCTCGTGAACTTCCCTCAGAATATACTCGGTATCTCCCTGTCCTAGACAAATCGCTAGTGGGCCATTGAACATTCTTCTGAACAAGGTTCCATCCTCGGACAAGCTGAACCTGGCTGCTTTGTGCGTGGGGCCCTCGATTCTTTTGGATCTGATGGAAGTTTCTCGGTATTCAAATACTCTACGTATTTATTTCTACAATCTCAGGTTAAGCTTGTAGAGTTTATTTCAGCGTGACCTTCTTCTACTACCAACCTCATAAGTTGTATGACAGCCCATGTGTTGAGCTCGTCATCTTCGACTGACGACCCTAAGTTTGCAAGGGCATTGGCGTCACTATTTTGATCTCGAGCTGCAAAGTCTAATCTTTGAACCGATGTAATGTTACCCGTAACTTATCTAGGTACCTTTGCATTCATTCTTCTCTGACTTCGACCATTCTGTTAACTTGGTTCACCACAAGGAGGGAGACACACTTAGCTTTGATCACCTCCACCCCCAAGTTTTTATCCAGTTCGAAACCTACAATTATGGCTTCATATTCGGCCTCGTTGTTAGTCAATTTCACAGTTCTAATGGATTGTCTAACTATATTGCGTGTGGGTGGCTTCAGTACGATGCCAAGTCCGGACCCCTTTGCTTTCAAGGCACCGTCCGTAAAGAGGGTCTAGATTCCCAAAGACGTCCCCGAGTTTACCAACAACTCTCTTTCGACTTCGGGTATTGGGGCCGATGTAAAGTTGTCCATGAAATCTGCCAAAATTTGAGATTTAATGGCTGACCGGGGTTGATATTCAATATCGTAACCGCTGATTTCCATGGGCCATTTGGCTAATCATCCCGAGATTTTGGGTTTATGCATTATATTTTGCAATGGCTACGTTGTCACAACACATATAGGATGGCACTGAAAATATGATCTCAGTTTCCTAGAGGCACTTAGCAAAGCAAGTGCCAATTTTCTAGGTGAGGGAATATCTAGTTTCGGCCTCACCTAAGGTCCTGCCAACATCATAAATTAGAAATTACTTACCTTGTTCTTCCCTAACTAGGACTCCACTTACCGCTATTTCCAATACTGCCAAATACAAGTATAGTGATTCGCCTGCCCTCGGTGTGTGAAGAAATGGCGGGCTCGATGGATATTGCTTAAGTTCTTCTAAGGCCCGTTAGCATTCTGTGGTCCATGTGAAGTTGTTTTTCTTCTTCAGTAATGAGAAAAACCGATGGCTCTTATCGGAAGAACTCGAGATTAATCGCCCCAGGACGGCAATGCGCCCGATTAGCCTTTGTATAGCCTTCACATTATCCACTACTGTGATATCCTTGATAGCTTTGATCTTGTCGGGGTTGATCTCAATTCCTCGATTGGACACCATGAACCCGAGAAATTTAACAGATCCGACTCCGACGCACTTTTCTGGATTCAGCTTTATGTTATACTTTTTCAATATACTGAAGGTTTCATGCAAATGATTTTAATGGTCCTCTACTCGCAGGAACTTAACTAACATATCGCCAATGTAAACTTCCATGGATTTTCCTATTTGTTCTTTGAATATTCGGTTTATTGGGCGTTGGTAAGTGGCATCGTCATTTGCTAATCCAAATGGCACTACGTTATAGCAGTATGTGCCATGCTTAGTGATGAAGGAGGTCTTTGCTTGATCATTCGGGTTCATCTGTATTTGGTTGTTCTCGGAGTAAGCATCGAGAAAATTGAGGATCTCATGGCCAGCCATGGCAACGATCATGCGATCTATTTTAGGCAAAGGGAAAGAGTCTTTGGGGCATGCCTTATTTAAATCTTTGTAATCCACACACATTCTTAGTTTGTTCCCTTTTTTAGGGACTACTACTACGTTTGCTAACTATTCTGGGTATTTGACCTCCTGGATGTACCTTATTTTAAAGAGTTTAGTTACCTCGTCATTGATGAAAGCATGCTTGATCTCGAACTGGGGTCTCCTTTTCTGCTTGACCGAATCAAATTTCGGGTCCAGGCTCAACTTGTAAGTAGTGATTTCCGGCGAGATCCCTCTTATATCGAGATGGGACCAAGCAAAACAATCCATGTTAGCTATAAGAAATTGAATGAGTTTTTTCCTGAGCTCTAGAGTTAACCCCGTGCCTAGGAATACATTTTGATCGGGCAAATATTCGATCAGTACGGACTGCTCCAACTCTTCGACCGTTGATTTGGTAGCGTCAGAATCATCGGGAACAATAAAGGATCGAGGAACCCCGTAATCATCGTCTTCATCAGTCCCCTGCTTGTCCAGTTAGGTCGAGGCTGGCATCAGTGATTACTATTTAGCTTCCTATTTTTCTTTCGAACTTGACTATTTTATCGACGAGAGTGTTGATATCGGAATTACTTCATCGACGGCAAACATCTCATTTGCGGTGGGTTGCTCCCCATAGACCGTATATGCCTTCTGGTGTTGGAAATTTTAATACCTGGTGAAGGATCGAGGGCACAGCCCTCATGTTGTGGATCCATGATCTCTTGAATAAGGCGTTGTACCTCATGTCCCCTTCGATTACATAAAGCTTGGTCTCCTGGGTGGTTCCGACTACGTTTACCGGTAATGTTATTTATCCCTTAGTAGTTTCTCAAGCCATGTTGAATCCGTTTAGCACTCGGGCCACAGGCACGATTTGGTCTTGTAGGCAGAGTTGCTCTACGATCCTCGATCAAATGATGTTGGCCGAGCTACCTGGATGAATTAACACACGTTTAACTCGAGTTTTATTCATGAGTACAGATATTACCAGTGCATCATTATACGGCTGCATGATTCCTTCTGCTTCCTCGTCGTTGAAAGATAAAGTTCCTTCTGGTATGTAATCCCGGGTTAGTTTTTCCCTTATGATTGATACTTTGGTGCGCTTTAACATTGGACCTTGAGGAACACCGACCCCTCCGATGATCTGTGAATGACGTGTTGAGGTTCGTCTTGCTTACTTTGTTTATTGGAATCCCTGTTCTGAAATGATTCTTGGCCCGTCGCTCAAAAATTCTCGAAGGTTCCCATTGTTGAATAACTGGGCTACCTCTTCTCTCAATTGTCAACAATCCTCCATTCTGTGGCCATGAGTGCCATGATATTTGCATATTTTGTTGGGATCTTTTTGGGCTAGATCAGTTTGTAAAGGCCGAGACCATTTGATATATTTCATGTGTCTGATAGACAATACGATGGCAGTCGCATCAATATTTAAGGTTTACTCTGATAATCGTGGTGCCTCTTTAGGTCCGATAGGTCTGTCGAATTCGTTCTTGCTCATGAGCCCTCGAGAGCTTTGGCCTCGATCACTTCTCCTTTCATTTTGTACAAAATTTTACCCAGATCTGATGCTCCTACAATCTCTATTATACGACTGATATCAGTCTCTATTCAACCTCGGTTCTTGGTCAACATCCCTCTTGATTCTATCGACGGGTCTGATAGGTTAAATGGACCCGGAAGGAGCCCAAGTTGATCGTCTTCGACCCTGATCTTTGATTGATACCAATTATGCATATTGGCCCAAGTAACAGCCGAGTATTCTATAAATTATACTTCAATTGTTGTGAAGCCACTAAGCTTCGATCATTGAGTACTTGAGTGAAAGCTTGAACAGTCCAATCATCAGCGACCGGTGGCAAGTCCATCCATTCCATTTGGAATCGAAACACGAATTCTCTGAGCATTTCGTTGTCCTTCTGCCTTACCTTGAAAAGATTTGACTTCTTGGTTTCGACCTTGATGGCCCCGGCATGTGCCTTTACAAAAGAATCTACAAGCATAGCAAATAAGTCAATAGAATTAGGTGATAAATTATGGTACCATATCATAGCTCCCTTTGACAGGGTCTCTCCAATTTGTTTAGCAAGATAGATTCGATCTCATCAGCTTCTAGATCATTCCCTTTGATAGCACATGTGTAAGAGATGACGTGCTCATTAGGACCGGTCATTCCATTGTACTTAGGAATCTCGGGCATGCGAAACTTCTTGGGGATTGACTTCGGAGCCACGCTGGGGGAGAAAGGTTTTTGTACGAACTTTTTGGAGTCCAGTCCCATCAATATTGGCGGTGCTCTCGGGATTTGATTGACCCTGGAGTTGTAAGTTTCCACCTTTTTATTGTTCTTCGATCTTCTTTTCCCCCGACTCAATTCAATTTGTCAGTTCTTCGAGCATCTTCATGATTGCGGGATTGGTCTATGATTCTTTCTCATTCAATTTCCTTCAAACCGATTCGACCCCATGAACAACCTCCTAGGATTGCTTGGGCTTGATCCTACTCGGTGGGTGATTTTGGTTTTGGAGTTGGGGTATTGCTGCCTGTTGAGCCTACAACATTTCAAAAATCACCCGTAGGTTGATCCCGCCATCTTCGCCGCCATGAGTGCTTTGAGCGACTGATCGAACATCCCCACGGATGCTTCCCTCGGGATTGACAGCCAAATTTACGTTAATGGCTACATGTAGGGGTATTCAAAACCGAACCGAAACCGAAACTTAATGGCTTATTAGTATCAGGTTAACAGCTTAACGGACGGGGAACGGATTGAATATTTTTTGTTAATGGCTTATCGGTTTGGTGGCGGATTATTCAATTTTCTTAACGGATAATCCGTTAACCCGTTAAGAATATATATATAATTTATTTTTATTAATATATATATTAAATATCAAAAACCCTTCCACTTCCAGTACTCTATCTCTAACACCTAATTCCTAAATAATCAGAAACCCTAACACCTAAATTTCAACCATCAGGTATGTGTACCTTACTGTATGATCTCTCTCTGCAATTTGAATGGTTTAGTTGAATGGATATTCAGTAGCATATGATCTTAAATCAATAAGGAAACAATAGTCTTTTCCTCCATTGAAACATTACTAGGCTACTTGTATAATGTTGTTGTATGTAATGAATAAGGAAATGTTGTTTTCTCATGTTTGATGATTATGATTGCTCTTCAATGCATATAAATAATGACTAGTACGGTGATTCTCATCCATATTCTTGCTTTTCTATGTGATGAAGTTGGTAGCCATTGCTTCATCTTTTCACTCTACAACATATGACACACCAAATCATTCTTACGTAGGATTTAACAGACATGTAGGTCTGCACTCAACGTGTAATTTTCTATTCTGAATTTGTATGCTAGGCGGTCAGCAAACAATTAATGCATGCAATATAGATTGAATTAGGCCGATAAATCACCTGATAACCGCCCGATAAGAGCTAAACCGATACCAATCTGCTCGATATCTTATCGGGTGGCTAGCGGATTAATACATTTAAAAGCCGATAACTATTAAGCCAAATCGTTAAGAGTAATTAACAGGCCCAATCCGCCTGATAAATAGCCAGCTACATGTGAGTTGACTTCAATTGGATCTACAACCGGAACTCCATCGAGGCCTACCGGGAGTACATCGTTCCCTGGTGCTATGTTATCATTTTCGCCGTAGTGACTGAAATCATTGTCAACGTGTAGGAGTGCTGACTGAGAGTTCGACATTTTGGTCCTGAAATCAAAGATACTTCAAAGAACAAGTGTAAAAATAGTGTGTGTTATGAAAGTTTGTATCAGGTAATCACTATTATCCTTAGCCTCACGGTGGGCGCCAAACTGTTTATCCTTAAAATTGGATAACAATTAAATTTGTACACGATTTTAAGGATACGTGATATAACTTGATACAAATTAAGAAGACAGATTAATATTGAAATTAACGATAAGAAAATAAATGCAAACCACAAAATTGAACAGCCTTAGCCTCCAAGTTTGATCACCCTCGGGCCAAGAAATGTCAGCTAGTGCTAGAACTGAACAACAAGATGATAAGAACTAGAAATGATCAGTATATTGTTTTCTTTTTCATGTTACAATGTGTCCTACAAATTATCAGATCTACATCCCCTCCCCCCCCCCTATAGGGGTGTTCTACTCTTGGTATAATTCTATACAAGGTAAAAAATCTCATGATTTGCTAATTAAACGGCCTCTTCTTGATACGTGCCGAGATTTCTGTCGTGATCCTCGACCGATTGCGGATATTTTGGCTTTTTATTATTTGGCTCGATAAGTTTCTCTCGATCTTGTTCGGTTTCTGGGTCACGAGCTCGACGATCTAATTTTACGCCTTGGTTCGATATAACCCGACCTCGAACTTTGACCTGCCATGTTTCAGTCTCGATTAATCAAACAATGGACAATCCGGTTTCGACCGTATCTTGAAGTTATAAGCTACCCTTATCATGTTTTCTTTGCTATATTTTTTGTAATTTTACTTATTTCTTTTTAATGGAGTTAATGAGGCAACGACATTAACATGCGCAACACGTAGAATGATCCCACGTATTACTAGCACGGAGACATGATTTTGTCCTTCAATTATCCTCGCCAAAATCGACCTTTTTGTAGTGGGTAAGAATCCTGTATCATTTGAGTAATTGAACTTGTAGTTTGGAGAAAAGATCGTGTGAAAGAAAAGTACTACTCTTAATTCTTTTCTCCAGTACAAGCAAACATTTCAAATTACAACAACATATACGGTGTAATTTTACAAATGGGATCTAAGGAAAGTAATGTATATGCATACCTTATTTCTATCTTATAAAGGTCAATATTTTAAAAGGCATTTTCGGGACGATCCATAGGGCGAGGCGCACCAAAAATGCCTCGAGGCGAGGGTGTGGGGTGAAAGTCTCAAGAGGCGTATGTATGCCCAGGCGTTCGGGGCGTACGTCCGAGCGTTTGGGCGCGTTTTTGTATTAAGGCGCAAGTCCCAGAGACTTTTTCAAATTAAAATAAAATTTATTGAATATGTCCTTCATATAATACCCAAATTCTCAAAAGTCAGCTTGTAATTAGTCAAAAGTTTTAAAAAGGAACTGAAATGTATTAAATTTAAAAGTCAAGACCTTTTTTTATTGATTGAAGCCCTAATCTATGGTCTTTCCCAATTCTTTATCTTGCATGCTAATCTGTTAATATCTCCCTAAGCAACGAATATTCAATTTTTTTTACAAATATAAAGAGAACTTCATTCTCCTTCATAGCAACAAGTTCAAAGTTCAAGTTGCAGGTTAGTCATCCTTTTTGTTCTTACAAGTAGAAAACTTTATTCTTTTCAACTCAAGTTAATTGTACTTGTAGGCAACGTATAATAGATTGTTTTGACTAATTTTCTGTGGGGATGGAGCACATCTATATATATATATATATATATATATATATATATATATATATATATNATAGATATTTACTATAATTATATTATTTTATAAAATATTAAAAATTAAATACTCATGGGGCTTACGCCTCGTGCCTCGGAACTTACGCCTCATTGAGACATATATAAAACATCTCTGCTTTACGCTCATCTTTTAAAACACTGATAAAGATAAAAAAAATGTTTGTAATATACCTTCGGCTCAAATACTATTCCTTTTGCTTTTCAAATATAATAATAATAATGCGATCCTATAAAAGAAAATTAGATGGAGTATTGAATAAGAGATATACTACGATTTAAAAGCATGAAAGCGTTGAATAAGAGATATGCTAAGATTTAAAAGCACGAAAGCACACCTAAGCATTAATTCTTGTTGGGCTTTACCATTGGGCCACCTCAATAGCCCAACATAAATGTTCAATATGAAATGTAAAAATTGCATGGAGCAACTTATTTGGTCGTTCCCTTTTAACTCATACCCGTTTTATTTTTTCGTTTGCATCTTTATCCATATTTTTGTTAAAATTATTTTAAAAAGACGATTATACCCTTCTTTAATAAAAGACTATTGATAATTTGCAGGACAAAAACTTAAGCATGTCTCGGCTGAAGTTTTAACAAATGAACTAAAAAACTTTAGCTTATATAGACTGAAGTTTCGGATAAAACTCAGGACAAGACTGTAGACTGCAATACAAAACTTCAGCATATTTTGGTATGAAATTTTAGCAAATGAACTAAATAACTTCAGCATGCATTAGCAAAAACTCTTTAGAAAATTACATACTGCAAAAGACAAAAATTTAGCATGTTTAGTCTGAAGCTTTAGCAAATGAACTAAAAAACTTAAGTATATTTTGTCTTAAGTTTTAGCAAATGAACTAAATAACTTCAACATGCATTAGCAAAAACTCATTAGAAAATTACATACTGCAAGACAAAAAATTAAGCATGTTTAGTTTGAAGTTTTAGCAAATGAACTAAAAAAACTTAAGCATATTTAGTCTGGAGTTTTAGCAAATGAACTAAAAAACTTAAGCATGTTTAGTCTGAAGTTTTAGCAAATGAACTACTTCAGCATGTTTAGACTGAAGTTTCGGATTAAACTCATGACAAAACTGTAGACTGTAGGATATATAACTTCAGCATGCATTAGCATGAAGTTTTAGCTTCAATGTGAAACAGGTTCACGTTATATTAGCATGAAATTTTAGCTTCAACATGAAACAACTTCATGCAAGTGCGATTCTGAAGATGAATCTGGATAAGTTTCTAATTTTTTGATAAAGCTGCTGAGATGAGAGGAGGAGATCTTTTTTTATGAATGAGGTTGCATATCACGCGATTAATACGTGATGCAGATTTTATATCTTATCAGGGGTATAACTATCATATTATTACAATTTTTTTGTCAGTTGGCTACCAAATCAATAATTTTAAAAAATAAGGTACAAATTAAAAGGGTACGACTGCAAATCACTGTATGAAACGGGGACCCATATTTCTTGGGTTGGGCTTACTGCGTTTGGCGGGTCAAAATTCAGCAGCGGAGAGAGTAAACTGAGAGCGGCTGAACAACCAGAATTCGCCGCCGTGAAGATCATGTTTGCAATAAAGAAACGCATTCGAGACTCTTCCCTCAAGTTTTGGAGCTTCAATTTCATCCTTTCCAATATCAATGTCGTCTCAAGGTACACATTTATAGCCAACTTCCTACTTAGGGTTTTTAGTTAGTTGTATACAGAACTTATATAGCTTCCTAATAAGAACAGGAATTCTTCATTTTCAATTGGAATTATCTTACTCTTGATAAGGATGAATGATCAATACCCAAATAAAATTAAAAACACAGTTTGAATTGAGGCTATTCAACATTTTCAGCTTTGGCCAATGCTATGGGTTGTTATAAATTGGTGAAAACCCTTTTCTTTACATTTTCTGTAAGTTTTTTCTAGGCATTTGTAATTTATCCGCTGATTGATTTTTTTTTTAATGCAGGGAAACTGTTCCAAATTGTGCATATTTGCCTAAAGCAACTTCCTTCATGCGTTTTTTTAGTCATGTCAACTCCTTAATGTCCAGAAACTATCATCAAATGAGATTATCATATCAAGATCCTGCAATGAATGCTTTGATATTGCCAGGTTCATTAAATTTTTGGTCTCGTGAGACTGTTTTGAAATGGTTTCATGCTAGACGGTTCTCTAGTCCATCCATAGAGCTGAATACAGAGAAAGGAGTCGTCAGATTTAGATTTGGTCAAGAAATTGGAAAAAGTGGTGGTCAGACAAAGGCAAAGCATGTGGTGAAGAAGTTTAAAATGTCTAAAAAAGCAAAACTGAATGAACTCAGACTTTACAGACTGAAGGCAAAGAAGAAAATGAGATCTCCAAATCCTGAAATTAGGATCAGATACAAACTTGAGAAGGTCAGAGCTATTAAGGGTGATGGTATCCACGTTTAATATATGCTGAGCAGAATGTTTTGCCTCTACTCATAATATTTTTTCCAGGATAATTTTACCAAGCATTTGAATGGTCTTCTGTTGTCATGACATACGCGTATATTTCTGAAAAAACATTTGAGAAAATGAAACTTTGTATGTCATTATTTTTTGACAATTATCTTGCTTGCTCTAATTTCTGATTCTGATATCTCTGAGAAAAAGTAGCTTTGGCATGTTTGCCAAAACTGTATCACTTTCTTTTGCAATGGTCCAAACTGATGAACCGCATGTTGGTTATTGCATATATATATATTGTAGGCAAAACGAAAGGAAGCTTGGTTAATTGAGAAACTGAGAAAATTTGAGGTACCCAAAGCTCCGGATGAACCGCATGATCCTGAAATTTTAACTGAAGAAGAGAAGTTTTACTTAAAGCGCACTGGTGAGAAAAAGAAAAATTATGTACCGGTTGGAAGGCGAGGAGTATTTGGAGGGGTTGTTTTGAATATGCATCTTCACTGGAAGAAACATGAGACAGTTAAGGTTGTATGCAAGCCTTGCAAGCCTGGGCAGGTTCATGAATATGCTGCAGAGCTGACTCGGTTGAGCAGAGGCATTGTTATTGACATTAAACCAGACAACACCATAATATTCTATCGTGGAAAGAACTATGTTCAACCAGAAGTTATGTCTCCTCCAAATACTCTATCTAAAGACAAGGTGATATATGCATTTTTCTTGTGATGTCGTGCTTGATTCAGCCTGTATGTGAAAATTAAAAGAATTTTTTATTCAATAGAGGATTTATTATTGGCTTTATAAAACTGCAGGCCTTGGAAAAGTATCGATATGAGCAGTCATTGGAGCATACAAGTCAATTCATTGAGAAAATGGAGAAAGAGCTGGAAGAGTATCATGAATATCTTGCCCGGAAGAGAAAAGAAGAAAAGAGTTGAAGCTGACGGTTTGAAGTTAACTTTTGAAGTATAGATTACAAATAACAACAACAACAACAACAAACCCAGTTTGATCCTAACAGGTAAATGTTTCTACCTCTCCAGGCAAGTAATACAAATTGTTAAATTGTTAATTACTTAAAGTTGTTACCAAAGCTTATTGCCGGTTGTGTCTTTTGATTATCCTAGCACTTTCCGTAGTTGAGATGAAAAGTGCGAATGACCAATAGGAGGGAACTGAAAGAGGAAGGAAGGAATCATTTACCTTGTACCCCAAGAGCTAGGTGGGGAGTTCTTGGAGTGAAGGATGTCGAGGGTCTATTTGGAAACAGCCTCTCTACCCCAGGGTAGGGGTAAGGTCTGCGTACACACTACCCTCCCCAGACCCCACTAGTGAGATTATACTGGGTTGTTGTTGTTGTTGTTGTTGGTAGCAAATAAAAAGAGACCGAGTTAACTTTTCAACCCCTCAGAAGTTGAATGAAAGGAGTAGGATCTCTCTGTAACTCTCATCAGTCATCTGTTCATGTGCGGAAAAAATTGGAAAGCCTCGATACACCAGCCCCATTGAAATCCTTTAGCCAAGCATGGTACAATGGTACATACTTACTTCTTCGTGCTTACTGCTGAGTGCTGATAACCAGCTTGAATCATGGATAGATTTGTGGATGTTATGTCAAGTAAAAGAGTGTTTGTCTGGAAATATGTCAGCAGAATTGGTCGACAAATTTTCTATATTGATTGAAGGAGTTAAGCTGGGGAAATTTAATGGTAACAAGGCTTGTCAGTGAAAATTAAAGGTAAAACTTCATGTTCTCATGTCGCAATATGAGTGAACTTCATCTGTGAATTCTCTGATTGGCTGATATAGTCTTTACCATTCAACCTATTTCCTGGTGTTACGTTGCAAAGGGTTCATTTTAACAAGCAATCGAAAAGCAAAGACACTGTAAAATGTGTTGCAATCAGTTCAAATGCTTGTGCATTTAACTTCTCTGATGGTCAGCGCAGCCTTCTCCTTTTAACTCAGTTTTCGGATTGAGTATTCTTGCTTGTATTCAGATAATTTTTTAATGGAAGATTCAGCTAATAGCTCCCCTGAAGAGCTATCAAATCCATTGAAGCTTTCTTTCACACTTATTGTTTGCTGTTTAAGTATGTCGGGACAGTGCTTACTGTCCTTGTAACTTCGTCTATGTGTTTCTACTGGTTGATATTTATTGGAAATTATAGAATAGATACAACTTACCCCTTCATAAGGGCAGGTCTTGCAGATTTATAGACTAATGTTACTTCCACAGCTGATCTGTACATAGTGTGTTGGCCTTTATTCATCTGACGGAGTTATAAATTGGCGAGTGTAATGGATTCAGACGACATATATAATCATCTGAGGATGGAGTCGTTTTTTCATCGATTATTTGCACAACAACTTCAATTTTATGTCCAAAAATAACAGAACCGAGACTGGCCTGAACTATTTCTGATCGAGTGGAAGCCAACAAAATCATTAAGTATTCCGAGAATCAGTATCTTCTTATATCATATAAAACTACTGAATCATTCTTGCTTCTCTTTTCTTATTGTTCTCCAAATATAAACGTTGAGTTATTTACTACTGATAGGCAAAAAGGAAAAAAGAAAAAACAACAACAACAACAACAAACTCAGTGGAATCTCACAAGTAGGGTTTGGGGAGGATATGGTGTATGCAGACCTTACCCCTACTTTATGAAGGTGGAAAGGTTGTTTCTGAAAGACCCTCGGCTCAAGAACAGTAAAAATGAAGCAATAGAGAAACAATAGCAACAAGGAAATGAGACAATGAAGTAAGTAATACAGTGAGTAATAACAGAGATCTAGGGATACGAAATTACCAAGATCCTACTGATAATAATGTCACACCGCATAAAAACAAGGGACTAGGAATAGGAAGATATACGACTAGTACTACAAGTACCGGTAAGACAAGGCGAAACTCTAGAGTGTCTATCAACCCACCACTCTAAATCTCGACATTCACACCTTTCTATTGAGGGTCATGTCCTCGGTAAGCTGGAGAATATCCATGTCCCCAGTTCTTCTTGGGCCTCCCTCTACCCTTCCTCTGACTCGCCATGGGCAGCCTCTCGCACCTCCTAACTGGGACATTAGAGTTTCCCTTCTTCACATATCCGAACCATCTCAGCTTCAATTCCCGCAGCTTATACTCCACCAGGGCCACACCCACCTTGTCCCTAATATATTTATTCATAATCTTGTCTTTTTTGGTATGCCCACACATCTATCTCAACATCCTTATTTCTGTTACTTTCATCTTCTTGGCATGAGATTTCTTGACTTGCCAACACTCTGCTCCATACAACATGGCCAGTCTAACTACCGCTTTGTATAACTTGCCCTTAAGTCTAGATGGCACATTCCTGTCACACAAAATACCAGAAGCGAGCCGCCATTTCAACCACCCCGTTCCTATACGATGTGCGACATCCTCGTTAGTCTCCCGTTACTCTGTATTACAGACCCAAGATATTTGAAACTACCTCTCTTGGGGATGACTTGTGTATCAAGTTTCACGTCCACCTCTGCTTCATGCGTCCAAACACTGAACTTACACTCCAAGTATTTTGTTTTTGTCCTACTCAACTTGAAACCTTTAGACTCCAGAATCTGGCGCCACTCCTCCAGCCTAGTATTAACCCCGCATCGCGTCTCGTCAATCAACATTATATCATCTGCAAATAACATACATCATGACACCTCCCCTTGGATGTGTCGCGTCAGCACATCCATCGCCGGGACAAATAAAAATGGGCCAAGAGTTGATCTCTGATACAACCCCATCACCATAGGGAAATAATCTGACTCTCCTCCCACAATCTTCACTCGAGTCTTAGAACCATCGTACATGTCCGCAAAAAGAAAGAAAAAAAACAAAAGATGAAAAACAAAATGAAAATGAAAACAAACAAACATTGAGAATCAGAGATCGGGATTTAGCGCACATCCCCTCGATTCCATATATTAGTACCCAATATGGGTATAACTGAAAAGCTATGGATTCTGGTTCCTTTTTCCTTTTCTTCTTTTTCAAGTTCGAAGTGGAAACTTAAGCTGAGATTTTGTACCTCTTCCTAGTGATGTTACGTTTTGATGGGTTCCGCATTCTCAGATATGTACGTTACAGAAACTTCCATTAATAAGCTGAGGTTGCTGTGGTGTAGTGGTTATCACGTCAGTCTTACACACTGAAGGTCCCCAGTTCGATCCTGGGCAGCAACATTTTTTTTCCTCGATTGCTCTTTTTATTTCAGTCTTTCTGCTTTTTGGCTGCCGCTTTTTCACAAGTGAGCCAAATTACGAAGAAATAGTTATTGCGAAATTGACGACGTCGGACCAAAATCTACAATATCTTAAGACGTTCTATCACGAAAAGAAGCTTTTTCCCTTTCTTTTTGATTTATTAATTTCTAAAGCGTCGTCGTTTTAGATTTGCTGCTTAGTTGCATGACTGAATGTACCAAGTACAAAACTGAAAATCGCATTCTCGAAAAATCTTGCATTTATGAATCAATGGGCCGATTGTACGCTGCTAACATTCAGGATCATGTGTGGACATCCTAAAAGTATACAATTCAGGAGACAAAAGTCAACTTATACCACTCAACAATTACAATTTACTCCTTGTTTCTGGGAGAAAATTCGGCATGCAAAATTCAGTCCAAGCTACAAAAAAGATCATCTCTACCATTTGAACAGAAGTACAACCTAAGATCATCTAACTCTCAGGTGAAATACGAAGTATAATGAGAATGAGTTGCAGCAGGAAATACAGAAGTTAGTCATATTCTGCAATTGTGGAATTTTGCCCTAAACGTATTTTACCCTATGAACGTGATGCATATGTCTTCCTTTTTGTTGGAAGGCTTATACATAATAAATAACCAAACAAAACCATCAGAAGGGCCAAGGACGGAAAGAAATGAACAAACATCCAGTAGAATGCACTAGCTACTGCTGAAGACCTGAAGTCGAAGTCAAGAATGATAAAGCGCTAGCTTGCAGTAGTGTCATTACCCAAACTTCCCGAGTTCCACTTTCTTCTTTATCGCCTTTTGACCATGGTAAATAAATGCATCTACTATTCCAGCAACTGTGAAGACACCTGAATTAAATGATAAGAACGATGTAAGTATCCTGTAGGTTGTACGAAATTAACACTGAGAAGCAAGCAAAGAACAAAGTGATTTAAAGAAATGAACATTCATCACTTGGTTGACCAAAGCAACAACTTAAGACCCTATTGATTGAAACGAAACAGGAAGCAAAATTTCAATAAACAAAGTTGGGGACAGAATTCTGTTTAGCACCTTACTCACAATGAAGTGTTGCCAGATCTTATAAAAAGCAAAATCTGATTTCTAGAAGAGAAAATAGCACAAAGAAAGATGGCTTGAAACAATATAGACATTCTCCCATTTTTATATATGCCCCTTTTCAGATTTACCATTTTCACAATTTATGAAGAGAACTGAAAAAGCAATGTAACTAGTCAAGCTTTAAGCAAATCAAGCATAATTCCCAATGATGGGAAAACTGATATCTGGTGCTTGAACCAATTCATGTTTACATTTTGGAAGAGAGGGCAAAACCTCTCTAGAGCAGCTCAAAAGAGATCTTCCAATTGTCCAGTTTCCCCTGATTCTTCACGGGGGCATAAAATTAAGAACTTCATATTCTACCTCCCTTCGGAAGTCAAAGAATGACATAACCCTCCAACAATCACGAGTAACATTAATACAAGAAAGGTCATTTGAATACTATATCGGACAATGAGTTACCTCCAATAATTGCACAAACGCTGGTGAGGAAATGAAAGAATGACACATGCTGCTCCGTGAAAGTCACCTGCAACAAATACCAAATTGGAAGAATAATCCACCTTGTCCCATAGAAAATCTAACCATTTTATGAAGAAAAAAAAAAACTTCGTTTTCTTTTTTTAATAACCGATAACTGCACTATTATCGGCCTCAAAACTCGGTGGATAATAGGTGCACCCCTCTTCCCTTAATCATTTTTGGTTCACAGCAAGTTTCAAACTCGTAATGTGCCTTACCAGGCTATCACACATCCTGTGTTGTGCTACTTTTACCATTTAACCATATTTCATATATCTTGTAGTCTCTCATGGGAAGCTTTCACTTTCATGCTTGCATGTTTATGATTGTGATTATTCAAATTGGGATATTTTAATGATATAATAAAGAAGGGAAACTCCTCCCAACTATATTCAAATCCATCACTTCCGAGCCCTACTTATATAAATTTAAAAAATAACTTAGAAAGAGGAATAAAAGGGGGGGAAATGCAGAAGATTTTACCTTGATTGGAGAGAGGTCATAAAAGAAGTAAACTCCAGGAGGTGATTGGAAAAGACCCATCTCTGAACTCTTGAAATGCTCGGTCGCTGAGAACTATACATAACCAATGTCCTTCATATTACAAAGACTGACAAAAATCCAAGAAAGAATGTTCACCTCAAAAAGATCTACAAAATACCTGATTTGAATCAATAGTATGGCCTCTAAAACCTTTATATATTGTAGGGACCACCTGAAACACCAGCGGACATGCTGAGCAAACTCTTATTTCTCAGCTTTGAAAACAGAAAGTTTGATTTTTGCCAATTAAGAGCCCGTTTGGATGGGCTTATTTTAAGTGACTTTTAAGCATAAGCCATAAGTTAGGAATTCTAGCTTTTGGTTTTTGGCTGGTTTTTGTCATTTTAGCTTAAAAACAAGTGCTTAAAAGCACTTTTTTACTTTATCCAAACACTACAAAATAGGTTAAAAGCTATTTTGGCTTAAAAATACTTAAAATAAGCCAATCCAAACGGGCTCTTCCATCTAAATCACAGTATAGGTAGAAGATATTCATCTGCTGTGTCAGCAGTTGTGCTTTTCTCTGTACTTCTGTGGCACGATGCAACAGTTGGTGTTTGTCTTCGACGTAACTCTTGCCAACTGCCGGCAAGAAAACATTCGCAGACCACGAAGCATGAAAATGAACTCCTTTAAATTTTGCTTCCTCTATTTTTCTATATTTTTCTTTAGTTTTTACAATAGCAACTAAGATTTACTTCCAAGGTGTTAATTAATGATTTATGGAAATTAAACACTGTAATGACACGCAATTAGCATAGATTTACAGTGCACTTTTTGGTCTTAAAATAAGGCTTCACTTATGCAACAAGTTCAGCCATGTGGATTATTTTTTTTTAAAACTACTGAATTATTTAGTCTTCTTTTTTTTTGTTGAGAATGGTAACAGCATGTTCATAGGCACAAAAAGCTGTGCTGGTAGCCAGATTTACAATTATTTACATAATTTTAAATCCTACCACAGCTTTATGTACACTTAAAGGAAGAATCTTGGGTTCATAGAAACTTGATATTTACAATCTTGAGTTGCCATGCTTCTCCTGTATATGGTCCTTTTTTTCACTTCAATTATGTTACTTTATTTCCTTCTCTGCCTCGAGCCAATTTCCAACATCAGATGCACATTTATCAAGAATACACATATGCATGCAAATCAGGAGGAGAAAGAAGCAGAAAGGAAGAATGCTATATCACACAAACACTGACTTTAAGAAAGTATTGATACACTCCATGCTGTGCTTCCTGCGTCCAGTGAACCCTAAAAGGTAAAAGAACCAAAATTTCTCAGGCAATATACAAGTGCAAAAGATAAAATAAGAAAGGAAGTGATATGTTCTCCATTTTTTATTTTCCCCAGGGCGAGGGTGGAAAAGGAGATCGAGGGTGTGTGATAGACGTCAAGAAAATATATATAAACATCGCTGTTCAGCAAGAATAGAAAGGCGAATGTGTCAAATTGTAATTACATGGACAACCAATGTTCTAAGCTGAAAGGTCTTCCTTCTTCTAAGTACTAATTGCAACTTGTTAAATAAGCTTGACATATAAGTTGGGAAATGCATGTTAAACTTCAAGATACCCAGGAAGATGCAAGTTAACCTTGAACTATAGTTAGGAGAGTGCAGAGAGTAAGGAAATTACCCATCAAGTGGATTTACAACTCCAGGAATAGAGTCGCCAAAAGCTATCTTATTTACCCTATGACTGATCTGTATGACATAAAAAAAGATGTTAATTGAATGTTGGTCAACATTCCTAAATAGATCAAAATTATAAGACAACAATTTATTTTTATAAGTAATTTATTTCAGAAAGCATCGTACATTATAAGTATCTGATTGTAAGGCAATCAGTTCGAAGAGTTGAAAGCTTGACTGGTGAAAGCTTTTGCCAGCAGCAAAGTGAAAATTCCCAGCCACTTTATTGACCTCTAGAGATCCATGGATGTTACATCCTTCACCTTCTTCATCTTTAATCTTTTGGACAAAACCTTCCCTTTTACACTACAAGCCAAAATATCAAATAAGCAACATCAGAATAATAAAAAGAATGATCACTGATGAGTAAGTAGGTTAATAACATTGGTTCCAAGTCAATATCCTTCTGCCATAATTTAATATAATAAAACTATTAGCACGACCTCTGCTGCTTTCCATTTTATTTATCCTTTCCACTATGCGAAAAAAAACTTCTACCTTCCCACTATATTGTGTTGAACAATTTTACTGTGCACTCTCTTTCACTAGAGAGTAGGGTTACTGAGGACATGGCCCTAAACAGGGAATTGTGGAGATCGAGCATTAAGGTGGTAGGTTAGGGAAATTGTGATGTCTTTGTTACAGCGCACTAGAGTGAGACTAGCCAGTTAGGAAGTAGTCTTAGGATGCTATTGATCAACTACTGATGATGGGCTTTATCTCCTGTGTATTAATACCTTACATCTTTCTCGTATTTCCTATATCTCTTATATTGTTGTTACTTTGTTTTTATGGTATTTATGTTATGTTATGGATTTTATGGTACTTTATGTTGTTTTATTATGAGTCTATTGATAGTACTAATATAGTGTCTCTTGTTGCCTCTTTGAGCCGAGGGTCTCCTGGAAACAGCCTCTCTGCCCCTCGGGGTAGAGGTAAGGTCTGCGTACATATTACCCTCCCCAGACCCCACTTGTGGGATTACACTGGGTTGTTGTTGTTGTTGTTGTACTCTCTTTCACTATTTATTTAGACTGTATCCAACTTACCCCGAACCCCTTACTTACGGAGTGAAGCAACAAGCTAACACAAAATAAACTGGTTGAAATAAGCTTGTCAATGACTTGACCATAATAAATTGACAAATTTGTCAACAATTTTTTTTCTGCCTTTGAAGTCAACGGCCACATGCTAATAACAGTCCACAAGCAATTGAATGTGCCTACTCTTTGTTTATGTACTTAATGTTCTGTATTCAGTGTGGCCACCGTGGATTAATTAAGAGCAGGTATGATTTGAACATGAATGTAAACCTGATCGATTAAATCAGTATTTGTTATCGCCCAGCCTCTCTTTCGATATGCTTCACGAACTTCTTCACATGTATTACAACATTCATCATCTGCCTGCAAAAGACATGGGAGACAGACGTAAAATATATGGAATGTAGTCTTTGGCACTATGTTCTTACAAGGGACAAATTGCTAATCTGTCAATGAAAATAAGAGTTCAAACACAGACCAGCTGCAGCAGCCTCCGTTCCAGAGAACAGAAAGCAAAGAAGCAAAAATTTCATCCAGCAAGAAACCAATTGACTCAGAAACTGAGACCAGAGAGCGATTTTAGGGAATGAATAAAAACCATTTCACTCTCATAGTGGCGGCCATTCTTTCACCCTCATGTCAGCCAAGTAACTATACTGATCTAGCACCATCTAATCATGATTTTGGTCCTTTCTGGGTTTTTTTAATTAATAGGTACCACTAATTTCTGTGCTTTGAACAAGCTTTGACAGAAAAGTGGTTCACTAGGTGATTCGTTCTCAACAAAAGTGGTTCACTATGCGATTGCAATGACAACAGTGATAAACACATACCCTTTATTACTAGTTCAAGGTCCTTTAGTTTTAATAAATCATAACAAATAGTGAAATTTTTGTTTTTTTAGTACTGTAAACAGCAGCACCCAGACCTTCCTGCCCCAAAGCCAAATAGTGGCTTCCCACTTTGCTCCAATGGTTGCTCGGACAACCAACCTCACAGTTGGGGGAGGAGGTCCCTTTCCACTAGGCTACTCCCTCCCTTGTTATCATGGCAACTTCATGTTCACCATTCTGGGAATTTACATTTGGATGGGTTTAGAATAATACCATTAAAAACCAGCAACTATCTATGCTAATTGAAGGAAAAAATAGAGAAGCCTAGCTGAAGTTGAAAAGTACCGTTTCAGCACCAAAGCATGAACCACAGTATGTTTCATTGTGCTCAAGTCTGCCACCGTGCTTCTGCAAAGGCCTCTCGATCTACACAGGAACAAATAGAAGAGAGAGAGAGAGAGAAAACAATATGGTTAGTGAAGTATAAGCATACAGTAAATCTAAACTAGAATAGAACAAACAGGACAATGTGAGATCTGAATCACCAGGCTACACAGCATACTTGCCCTTCACTACAACACCCATGGAAGGACATTAGGTATAACCATGCAAGTGAACCATAATGAGGTATCACTATTCTCTAAAGCACTAAGATAGCTGACACCATAAAATGCAGCAAAGCACTATATCATGAATGCGGAATTCAACAGCAGAATCATATGGACTAATAAGCAGAGGAATATTGCAAAACATTCATGAATGCATAGGCCTTCATGTTCAAATAAGTAGATAAATAAGTAGCGGAATACTGCAAAACATATAGTATCAATCACCAACAAACCTTAGGAGCACCAATTCCATCTTGTCTGACTTCAATAACAGCTCCATGGGAGTCGATCCTCTTTTTGAATATATCATGTCGCTGCAAGTTTTTTGAAGTGAAACAAATAACATGAGTTTTTTAGAAGAAGAAACGTGACATAATAATTATAGTAGAAGCAAAAGAAGAAACAATAAAAGAATGTAAGATTATGTGGATCACATACTATGTCAAAATGTTCTTCTCCACTAATATCCCTGGCATCAAGACTGAGCAGCGAACATGGAACAGCTGGAAAAGTGATATCAAACTGCTTGAAGAACAAAAGATATATTAAGTCTACATCTACAGCCACAGAAAACTTAAGTTTCGCAGGCAGATTTTTCTGAAGCATACTGGCTTGAAAAGGCACTTTCAGCTATTATATCTGCCGAAGATAAAATCAATATTCTCATAGAAAGCATAAAATCTTGAAACATGAAAGGAAAAAAATGCTCTCAGAGATCATATATTATGAAGTTCTAATTGGCATCTTAAGAAGGCAGTGAACTTTACATGTATATGTAATTTTCCTCCCCTTGAAGTATCTACAATGAGCTGTGTTTCAGTATAACTGTGGATATACAATCCTGCAAATCAAGAAGTGGAGAAAGATCAATGAATAAGAAATTCTGGTTGCCATTTTTTTAATCAAGAAAAAATTCTGGTTGTTATGTGAACAGGGGAGTGTTCGAGCTTTGTTGTAACCCACGGAGTAGCTACGCTGTGATATATGCTTCGCTGTGATATATGCTTTTTCATTTCAGAGTCATATAAGATATAACTAAAAAAAAGATCTTCAAGTTTAAAAAATTCTGGAACAACTATAAACCATGGAAAGTTTTTAAAGAGAAACTCACATTTTTGAAGAACCAAAAAAAAATTCAAACAAGATTAAACTAAGAAAAAATTATGAATAAAATCAAACGCACTCACACACATGAAGTAATAGTAGATGCAAATGAAATACTTCTTCAAATAGGGACAATAAAACCTTTGCAAGTTCTATAAAACTCTGTATTTATCAAAAAAGATTCTCTGAGCATCTTATCATGCCTAGTAGCATGTTTAGCAGAAAAGTAGTAGTTCGTCCACAAAAGTGAAAGGTCCAAGAAAAAGGGAAAAAAAAAAAGAACATCTATGTTTAAGAGTTGTCAGAAACTGCTATCCATGTACCTAGGACATCAGCTGACCATTGAATCTTAAGTTTAAAGCTAACTATCAAAAAATTATTAAGCTTTAAAGCTGAGTGGTGGTAAATGGTAATCCCCAGAACCTTGAAACTATAATCCCTAAATCCTTGAGATTAAACATTTCTCTTTGTGGAAACTTCCAAGCATCTTCATCTCTTAAAACTTGAAAGTACTTCAGCCAATTGTCAACATATTTCGAGATGATAGTTGCATCTTTTTTGGACCAAAAACAAAGTTTGACAAGTCAAATTCGGTCGTACTGAATCACCAAAATGGTGCAAAACATATGCACGTCATCATAAATGTACACTCACATAAGTAGGCCCCTCTTTCTTTTCCCAAGCAAGCAAAAAAATTATTTACATAGACCACATAGCACTAAGCCGGCGTTGAGAATTACAAAAAATGGGGTCCTCTTGTACAAAATATCAATGTTGTCATGAGCTAATGAAGTCTATCATGTTATTTCACTCAGAAGCATCTTCTAATTAGCACCAGATAACACTAAACATAAAGACCTATATTACAATATACGTACAACTTTAACTTTGCCTTCAAAACATCTCTGATTCCTTTCCTTCGGGTAAATCCAACATATACATGCTGGAAGAGTTCTCCAAATCTTTCTCAGATCTTTCTTACTGAAGTTACAAACCATCTAGAAGAAGAAAAGAAAGATCATTCACTGATGGTGGCATCAACCAATTGGCCCCAAACATGCTCAAAAAGAAGTTCCCAGTTGCCTAGCAAGTGGACAATGCAAAAATAATAGGTGACTGCTAATTTCCACTCCACCCCCACATGCAGGTTACTCTGGATCTTTCTAACCTTTATGTAGGCTACTCTTGACCTCTTACCAAGCCTTCTACACAAAAAGGAAGTCTTTCTTTACACCAACAATATAAATGAACTCTTTACATCTCTAGAACTCTTCAGTCTTCACATTGAACCATCCTCCTATTTCGCTCATTCCAAATTGTTCAGGAACAGCATAACAGGCCAGCTTTCCATGGTGTTTTCATCTAGCTCAAATCCTCCTTACCTCCAGCTTGTTAAATTTACTAACACCATCTTGGGAGTACCCAATGAATGTCTATAGAGAACACACCACTGCCTAAAGCTGTTAGTAAATCTGCAGCGTATAAAAAAGTGATTTACATATTTTTTTCCATCCACTTTGCACTGCAACGCCAACACAATAACTTGGATGTTGCAGCACATTTACGAGAGAGCTTTCGAGAAAAATATCCTCAATATCATCATAAACTTGTTACCTATTTCTCAGAGAGAATATAATTCGTCAATCCCATTAAACCTCACCACAAATTAAAAGTGATTCATGTACTTCAATCCTACTCGATAAAGAGATTCTTTCTCTTACTTCCCACTAAAAACTCAATAACAATGTAATACCATTCCATGACTACAATCTCACAGCTCCTTATCAAAACTACAATCTCACAGCTAGCCGCAGTCATTCATATAGTATCCTCTATTTACATTCCAGTATTCCACTAATCCTTTTTAACCAGTTTAGGAGAGATGGGATAGGTGTAATAATGGACAATCATTTCCCTTGCTTATACACAGTAGCCTTGGTTCTTAGATCCAGTATTTTTAACATAGAGCATAGATATGTATGCGAAATCCACAGAATTTTAAAAAAAAAAAAATATATATGAAACTCTGAAAGCGCAGTGGGTTCAGCGTTAAGAACCTTAGGGGTTAAACAGGACAAGTTTAAATCTTGAGCCGCCTCTGAAGCAACGCATAACACTTCCCTAAAGAAACTAATGACGCACAGCATAAATCATATAAATGTACAAATCACATTACAAAATTTTAGTTCTGGAAGTTTCTAAAGCCATTGGAAACAAAATGGAAATAGAGAACCAATCAATTAACTACGCCTCGATCCCAAACTAATTGGTACCACTAAACAAATCCTTCACGTCAAGTCTGTTCTATTTTCATTCTAATAAATGAATCAATTAAAAAAAAGGACATTTGAGATGAGAATGTTGGAATCGTACCGAGCTCGTTGACGAAGAGAACAAGCATAATTAAAGAGGCGGTGAGGGTAATAATACCGCCGGAAAGCGTACGGTTATAGAAATCCTCATTGATTTTAGGGTAAGCGTCCAAATTGCGAAGCTTACTGAACACTCTTTCCATTTCTACCGCCTACCTTAATTCATAACCGAACTTTTACAACAATTGAGAGCACGGAACTTTGAAAGCTCCGAAGCTATCTCCGGTTCAGATCAGTTTGTAGGCAGCCGGTGCCGGAGAGCAAAAACGTTGCCTTGGGTTTAAGATTGGGCCTGGGGCTTTACTTGGGCGGAGGATTTTTATAATATACTGTACTAGACGAGAAGATTCTTTGGATTCAGCAAATGATTTGATAATAGAGGCAATGGTCAGCTGGTCAATGCATCCACATTGGTATGTTACTTCTTTGACTTGTCGCGCCGGTTGGATCGGCCAAAACGTAATAATACAAATTTAGGGGTGTCAAATGGGCGGATTGGGTTGAATTTGGACGGATAAAGATGAGTTGAGCCAATAAATGGATCATTGTTTAACTAAGTGTAGTTAAGCTAAGATGGGTTGGGTCAAAATGAGTTAAACAATGGGTCATAGCCCAACCCACCCAACTTGACACATATTTTTACGGGGCATTTGCATCTATACTCGTTTTTTGGGTCCTGTTTTAACTTGTGCCCACTTTGCAAAAAAAATTGCAAGCGTGCCCATTTTTTCGCGTAACTTCAGCATACGAGGCTGAAGTAACAAAGACAATCACGCAAAATTTCTGTATTCTAGTATACGGGCCTGAAGTAGCAAGTGTGCTTAACCAAGTGTGTCGAAGTTTTTGTTTGCAGTTATTGAACTTATGTATAGTAGCTGAAGTTTTGTTCTCTATTTGCCGAAGTTTTGTTGTCCTAGATTCATTAGTTTCGTCATTAAGCTTTTTCAAAAACTTTAGCAGAAGATGCTGAAGTTATTTAGTTCATTTTATAAAAACTTCAACACTAAAAAAGCTGAAGTTTTTTTGTCCTAGATAAACTTTTTTAAAAACTTCAGTAGAAGATACTCAAGTTATTTAGTTCTTTTATAAAAACTTCAGCATTAAAAGCTGAAATTTTTTTGTCCTACATTCATTAGTTTTTTCAAAAACTTCAGCATAAATGCTGAAGTTATTTAGTTCATTTGTAAAAACTTCGGCATTATATAAGCTGAAGTTTTTGAAAAAGCTTCCTAACATACGAGATAAATAATCAGATTGCCAACAGTATCTAAATCAAAAATTTTAGAAACAATAAACGTGAAAAGAACAGAATTATCATTGTCTACTAGCTTACGTACGTGGAAATATTCATAAATTATTGTTTACTAACTTACGTAATTATTTATAATTTATTTTTAAATAATCTGATAAATATATTTATGGCAATCATCCCATGAACTGAAGTTTCACAGCAGCACCAACAGAAGAAAGAAGAAATAGAAGAAGAAAACGAATGAGGAGAAAGAGGATGAGAAAGATGGCTGAAGTTATTTTAAAAAAGTGGGTATAAGTTAAAAAAAATTTTAAAAAATGGGTATATGTTAAATGAGGGCGACCAAATAGGGCGCCCCGTGCAATTTTTACTGTTTTTACATATTAAAACCAAAATAAAGCCTTTAACCTTTTATAAACCTATGTATATTCCCTACTTTCCTAGTTTCCTCATAATTATTCATTCCATGCATTGGCGATGAATTGTTATATATTTAATATTTAATTTTAAATTTTTATATCTATTTATGTAGTTATTATTTGTTCTTTACCATGTAGAACAAAAAATCGTACTCCCCGCTTAAGAAGTACTCCATCCTTTCAAAAAAAAAATCAAAATATATTTTCTTAAATAACAAATTAGTATTTAAAATTTGTAAGTTAAAAAAAAACTATGTTATTTTTAAATAAGTAAATTTCACCACAACTTAGTGACAAAATTATTCATATTTACATTACAGAAACTAATGACGGGACAACTAAGTAAATTTTAAGACAAGCCATCAGTTGGGTTGAGATCTCTTTGTTTTGGGTGAGCTTCATGGGTTGCATTTGGACTACTTAATGGATCAGAATGGCTATAAAAAATAATAGATTAACTTGGGCTCAGCCCAAATAGACCCATGAGCTAAAATATTTCAAGCTCAATCATTAATCTCTGGGCGAGTTGCATGAATTTGGGCTCAAATTGCCAACCCCTAAATACAATACAATAGTACTAATTGACGGAGGAAAAAAAAACAATAGTACTAACTCGAAAAAAAATCGTATCCACAATGCTTATGTCTAACAATAACAACACTAGTTTATCTTAATTATGCATAATTAAAGCGTGTCGATCTTTATACTCAAATTAACTGTAAAAAATATTACTATAGTCAAACCTCTCTATAACAACATCATTTGTTCTGAAATTTTTCTACTTTTATAGTGAATGGTTGTTATATACATATAACAATATTTGGCATTTAAATATATTTTGGCTTTTATAGATAAAAATTATCCAAAAGCTAATTATTTTTCTTTTATAATATATATATATATATATATACAAAGATTAATAAAATATTTAAATTCAAATCTCAAAAGATATAAATATTTCACGAATTAAATGCTAAAGAAATCTAATACATTATTAAAAAAATTCTTAACTAAACGCACAAATATATAAACTCTAAGGCACACAATTAAAAAATACGAATAAATTTCGTTTATATATTATTGGTAATTGTCCAATATAAGATATATCATGTGTACATCTTCAAATAAAAAAAGAATGATATGCATATCTTCAAAAAGTATAAATAGATCTTTTGAGTATCTTTTGGCATTTTTTCTAATGCAAGATATATCATTTGTAGATCTTTAGTTATAAAAATAAGATTGTAACCTGCTGATATTATTAGTCGGCATGCCTTGATTGTATTTGTTAGTTTGGTGCAAATAGAGATATAATTCCTTTTAGTAATTCAATCAGATTGTAATTCTAGCAACTAAAATAAGGGAAATGAAAACTTATAAACTTTTAGATAGAATTTGGAATGATAACAAGGAGAGTATTGAGTACCAGTGTAGTATTACAAACAAATTATATCAAATTTAGAGTTCCAGTCCTACTTAATGTCCGTTGTCTAGTGTGCACTTATTGTTCTGTGTTCGTAACTCATTCCAACAAAGAAAATCCTAAAAGAAGTGAAACAATAGCGATAACCTCTTCATCAGATTGAAACTTTTTCCCTTTAGCCTCTAAGTGTAATAAATAGTCCAATTTCAGTTGTCTAACCACACTATATTATACTATTTGCTTAAATTTCCTTGCTCTTACTTAGAATAAGATGCTTGTAATAAGTGTCTGTCTATACATGGAAATTTTTGAAAGATTTCAATTTGTTGATTGTGATGACATATTGTAGAAAGCAGAGGTGTATAAAGGAAACCGACAAATCGCATCAACCCGATAATCCGAGTCAAACCGAGGAAAAAAACCCGACTATGGTTTGGTGTGATTTGGTTTGGTATTGGAAAAAAAAAATCCGACCATAATTGATTTGGTTTGGTTAACTAAAGAAAGTCAAACCGAAACCAAACCAACACGACACTAAATATATAGAAATTTTAGATATATTTAATATATAAATATACTTATTGTGATGTAATTTACAAATATTTCTTAAAAAATTTTATAATTCTATCTTTTAAGGTATTATTTCAAGGTTGGACTTAGAACTTTTGAATGTTCCAATATGTTTTATAACCATTAATATTAGTAAATTAAATAAGAGAAATTTTCATAAAACACTATCTTTTAGTAGTAATTAGTCATCTATAGATATCATTTGCTATATTACGGATTATAGA